CATTGAAATTCCTTTTAAATAGCTGGAAAGAGCTTTGAGCTGTTTCTAATAGAACACATGTTAAAACTTAGAGGTACTGTGCAGCTCTCCTGTTAGCTTGGTGACAGATGGCTGAACATGGTGTGGTGCACAAAGCATGTCACCCTGGCACCTTGAGCCTGAATTATTGGGAAGGGAAAACCTCCTGTAATACACAGAACACTAGAGAATATGAAGATAACTGGCCACGTGTCATGCTGACACTTCACCTAACCTGAACCAGGCAGCAACAGGAGCTGGTGTTTGGAACTGTATCCCAAAACCACTGTGGCCTGTCCCAGCTGAGGCTGCTGGAAGACAAAGCTGAACCAAATTGCACAGTTCTCGAACGACTGCTCTAAGAACTGAGTGCTCCTTCCCTGATACAGATGAACAAGTAAGTACAGACTATTCAGGGCCACTTTCAGTGACGGGAGCTTTCACAGTACAAACTCAGAAATTGCTGTCTCTGACCAGCATCCTGTATGTTCCTCATGCAGAGATCTGGTGCCAGCCAGGCTGAGTTGGCCATGCTTTTATCCCAGCAGCAGCTACTTAAATGAGGATGCTCAGACCTCAGTTAACTAAGACATCACTTGCCTTCCAGCATGATTCTGAGATGTGAATGCTACTATTGCCAGTGCCCTGAGCGAGCTGGCTGTCCCACTTTCCCTAGTGCTGCCTCTCGGCTCAGGGCACACGGCCTCAGCACCTTGCCAGGGCTTGCACACAGACACAGACAAGGCTGCAGTGGCTGCAGAAAAGCACCCCAAGCCTTCACAAAGGAGGCGTCTCTTACTTTTATACAGCAGCACCAACAACTGACGTGGAACCAGCCTGCAAAACCTTGCAGTTCAGAGGCAGATGACCAAACACTAACCACGTGGCTGCCAGCAGCTCACATTAGCCAGGCAGAAGGATCTTACCTGACTGCAACTTCTGTGTCATCACAGAAGACTTAAAAAAAAAGCTCAGCTGGGAAATGAAGAGAAAATTGAGGGGAAAAAAAAAAAAGAAGGGAGAGAGAAAGGTAATTTGGCAGTACCTGCACCCCATCACAGGCTGCCTTGGAAAAATCCCTGAATTTTGGTATCCAAGCTCAGAGACACTATACTAAGAAAACCCCTTACTAAAGCACAGCCTGTTTGCTATTATTCCTTCCGTGTAGGGCAGAGTTCCTTTGAGTAGCTTGCTCCTCGCAGAGCCTGCCCCTCTATGCACAGCTCATATGTGAGGGAGTGCTCTCCCATGACAGAGCAAACCTTTGCTGCACTGGAGAAATGCAGTAAATTAGCACCCAGACAAATTACTTTGGGATTTCTGCAGTGTACCGAGGATGACACATCCCACTACCAAAGGGATATGGGCTACACATGTACTACTTTTCTCTTGAGTCTGTGTCTTCCCTTAGTTTATAACTGTGCAGCAACCTCAGGGCTGATCTGCAGGGCCATCTAAACAGGTCTAGCATTGAGCCAAAATGTTTAGCTCTCCAATAGCCTGATGGCAGCAGCATTGGCATTTGGAGCAGTATCTCTACTTACCTATAGAAAGAAGCATTTTTCCTTAAGTGCCTAATGGCAGTGAAGTAACAGATAGTGGCAAACAGCATTATGGACACCCTTTAAACTGCATGTAAATTACCAGGCATTATTTATTTTTAAAAATTAGAATGGTCCTTTATTTGTACGGGAAAAATTCTGCAGCTGAGTCCCTTCCCTCTGCTATACAAATTTTACATTGAGTTGTACAGTCATAAAACATGGCTTTGGAAGGAATCCCCACTTATGACAAAAACCACATTAATGTGACTAATAACAACAGCTGTCTTACCTATCAGGAGTTTAATGGCTTCCACTTGCAGCCTTTAAATAAAACAGCTTGTTTACACATTTTTTACTGAGCAATACAATTAATTCCCATTTTTTGAAGAAGCATCTTTAATTCCCACCTGATGCTTCAAAGCCATGAGGCATTACTTATGATCATACTTGACAGAACACATGTGCATGCTGCACTGTTAGCCTGGAAAGGCTCAGGTGTAGCCTTTCAGATTCCATGAAGATTTAAACAAACTGTGAAGTACTGTTTCTTAACAAAACCATGCCTTTTTTCTACTCTGATCTAATACTGTCACTACCAACAACAATGAAAAGGTGTTTCTGTTGCAGTAGTAGGATTGCAGTACTTCTTGTGCAAGCATGACAGGTCTGTGGAAGGAGGTAGGACATTTTTCTCCCAATTATATTGAAATAGTATGTCTTTGATGACTGAAGGTTTCCCAGGGTTTTACATTGGGAAGGTACTTCCCTGCAAGGCTGCTGCTTGTACTTAAAGCTTCATTGTTATTTTTTCAAGTGGTTAATGGACTTCCTTTATCTTTACATCTTCTGGAATTCTATAGATCATCCAATGGAAAAATGCATTTACATGACATGTCTAGGTACTGGATTTATTTTGTCTTATCAGCCGGGAGCCTTTCCCTCTAACCTGAAAGAACAAGATGCTACCAATACTATTCTGACTGCCATTTGTTGAAGTAGAGCCCCTGAATCACATACAGCTATCACCAACGGCCACGGGTGTTCACCTGGCAACAACAGGCCAAATTTGTATTGTACAAAGGAACTATATTGTATTTGTACTGTACTTTTGTATTTGTATTGTATAAAGGAACTGTATCTAGTTCCTTAAAGCCTGTGGCTCACATTAATGCGAGTCACCCCAACATCTGCTGAGTTTGAGTGCTGAAGCATTTGCAGGCTCATGCCTTTGAATCCAACTGAATCTTTAGAGCTTGTGTCTATTTTTCTGCTCTGTCTGTTGACAAGCAATCCTAAGAATCTGTCACTAGCAGGCAAAAATAGAAACAGGACAGGAAAAGCTATGGACCTCAAAAGTGTTTCTGGAATTTCAGTGCAGGCAAATCTCTCACGATGATCTCATGAAAGAACTCCCCTTGAAAGTAAAATGGAGAACTTTTGGATAAAAAAATCCTAGAAAGTCACAAACCAAAAACCTATTGAGGTGATTAAAAATTTCTCTGTAGAAGATAGCAATGGTAATGTGAAAAGCTTATAATCTGTCAGAAACAGAGTAAACTGATAAATATCATGGGGGATTAATAATACAGACACTTCAGAGAAAACTCTGAGATTGAAATAGCATTCTCAGAACAATTTATAACAATGAAAGCTTTCCCCTTTGTGGGTCTGTCAGCACTGACAGAGTTTGAGGGACGCTCCAACTGTAGAGAACATAACTTTGGTCTAGAACAGGACACAAAAGAAAACCTCACAGAGTGTGATGGTAGATAACATGAGAGCTAGGGTCTCATGGAAAGTCTCCAGACAATGGCCAATTCAGTGGAGGCATATATCTGTCTCCATTTCATGCTGTAGGAAATACAAGTTAGAGCAAGAGCTGCTAGTCTCTAAGCCACATAAAAAGAGGTCAAGGAAATTAAGGAAATTAAAAGACAGAGGCGATGTCACATTGGTTCATGCAATTCTGTCTTTGATGGTGGCCAGTTGTAGCTGTTTAGGGAAAAAGTACAGAAAACGAAGAGCAGAAGAAAGGTAATTCAGCTATGGATGGACTGAACTGCTTCATTTTCAATTGTGAAATAACACAGAGTTCTGTATCCCACATTCTCAGGTTGTGGCAAGGGGATGGGGATGGTTACAAATCCTTCTGGCTTGTATGCTGTAACATTTCCTTTGACATATATTAGTTTCTCTTCACGCATAAGCCATTTGCAACTCAGACATAAGGGTTCTACACTAAAATGAAAGGGAGAGAGAAATTCTGTCTGCACCCCCATGCTCAATAGTAAATTTGTGAATGTAGGGAGAAGAGAGTTCCAAAGCAGCCAGCTACCCCATGGAAAGTTTGCAATGCTGAGGGTAAACAGCAAACCTGAGGTATGAGTAGATTCAATTGTAGGACTTTGAGCATTGTATCCTAAAACAACTGCCACATTTCCCAAGTACTTTTCTAGTGTGACAGTGTGCTTTTCTGTGAAAAACCTATTTTCTAGGTTCTCCTTTTCTTTTGTCCTTCCAGTGTAGGTAGTGTGTAGAGATGATTTCCTGGCCTTAAGCACTAATATATAAATCCATCCTTTATAGAAACAGTGGATTTACCCTGGTCATCTGCTCCACTATTTGCTATGATCCTCACCAGGGGCAGGAGTTTTCTTCCACAACTGCCTGTTTGTTGCTAAGAAGACTGCAGAAATAGTGTTCTTAGGGAAAATGCACTGTATTTATGTGTGCAAATTCGTCCTTTTGAAACATGGCAGGCTCAGCAAAATTTCTCCCTGAACATCATCCCCATGCAGTGTTTCCCAGCATGGACACGGATTTAGATCCTTTAGTCAGTGTCAGCACCATCTCCGAGATAGCCCTTTTTAGTCAATTTTGAGAACAAACAGAGCAAATGTGCATCTAAGTACCCCCACATGAAAACCCAGGGCCAGGAGAGGCAGCAGGGCACTGCAGCTCACCCCCAGCTGCAGGGTCAACCTGTGCTCATGTTGCCTTTCTCACCATTCACAGTAAATGAAAGATGCTCAGGGACAGGCTGCCATCCCACTGCATATGACACAAATGCATTCTTCTGTTTTTCTGACACACTGCTTACCTGAAGTTTTGTTCATTTAAAAAACAAGAAGCAAAAAGAGATTAAAAGAAAAGCAGGTCTCTGATATCTTTTTGCACGGGAGGCTGATTTGAAATGTAAAGTAGTGAAAATAAAATGCAGTAACTCCAGCCTTTTAGGCATCTAGCCTGAGCTAATGACAGCTGATTTTCTTGTTACTCCAATACTATGATCAGACTCCCTTCTCCAGATAAAAGCAACAGAGCTGCACAAGACAAGACAACTCACCTTTCTTGAACTGCTAGTGCTTTTAGCATTAGGTAGAGGAGACAATTTTCTGGTTGAGATGAAAACCACTGAGTTGAACAAAGGTTTCTTACCGTTAAGGACAATGCCATGCAAACAAAAGTGAACTTCTTGATATGTGTCGCAGTGACGGTGCTGTTGGTGTTCACCAGTTTATTGCTGGGGTTATTCTAGGGCAAGAGAAAGAGATAGCGAGCATTAGCCTGGCTCCAGACTACCGGGAGCTGCTGGCACAAGGGTCATGTGCTGGACCTGGCTGTCTCTGCCTGCCCCTGTCTGACTTGGCTTGTTTGCTTTATAACCTAGAGCTTTCTGAGTACTTTGTACCACTACAGAACATTTTCCGCTTAAACTGACAGCAACTGCTGCTATGGTCACTGAGGGCTGAGTAATCTTCCTTCTTTTCCAAGGAATAAGTCTTATTTAACAAATTTGACTTTAAAAAAGGTTGGTAGCTCCTTCTAAGAAAACACCACATGATTTTTTAAACCTTAGTCTGAAGTTTGTAGCATGTTTCCACAGGAAAAACAGGATTTTATTCCCTTTTGCTACAAATTGGTACCAAATCACCAGTGCAAGCATCCTTACTGATCCAATTAGACAAGCAGGTAATATAAACAAAGCTTCTGGAACAGCTGGCTCCATTAATGCAGTTTAATGAACAGAACATAATTAGGACTATTAGATGTTTCACCTTGAACATGGGCTCTGTAGTCACATGGCAGCAAAGTTTTATTTAAAACAACAAAAGCCTTCTTCCAAATGTCTAATATAGCAAATGAAGCTGAAGATTTAAAATTGCCCTTGGGGAGCACATAAAACCAAACTAAATGGTCTGTGAAAGGAGAGGATGGGATATCAAAGCAGAGTACCACTAGGAGCCTTTAAGCAAGAGGCTGTTTAGGTCATGTACTGCATTTACACTGGGACTGTTTGAGATACACAAGTCTGTGCACCTGCTGATAAAACCTGCACCATGAGAGGTACATTTATACCCTTGATGTAACTTAGGTAGAACAGGAGTACCTGTCACAGAGTCAGCCTCCTTTACTGGAGTTACTCATAGGAGAAATTGAACTATTGCAGACTCATCTTGGGAGTGGAGCACTGTGAAGAATACATCATTCCACACACATTCAGGTACTTGGTGGAATTTTGCAATTTAAGGCTTTTGATCTGATCAGTGCAGCAATTACACCTAGATGGCCCCATGCTCCTGCCTAAATACCTGCTTGGAAATTTGGGTGCTTAAAGATGCAGGCAACCTAGACCCTAAAGCAGGAAGCCACCCCATCTGTCCTTTAAGGGAACTGGTTATGAAAACTCTCTGTAAACATTTTTTCATACATCTATTACTATCAATTGTATTTCTGAGGAAATACTTTGCTACTGTTAGTTTTTACAGATGTGAGGATAAGCCTTGCTTACATCACTCACCAGTGTTAAATGAACTTTTTGCTGCATGGCTCAACTATCTAACAAGCCTAAAATAACAGGAAATAAAGCACACCCAAACCAAGTCATCCAAAAGGACTGCTAAGAAAATGCTTTCTCATTCGTTCCTATCCCACTGCTGCTATCCTCCTCTTGCCATACTCTGTCTTTTGCTCCAACTCTTGACCACACACTCTTTGTTTGCAACTCTTACACAATATAACAAAACACTATGGAACAAAAAGAATTCCCATCTAGTCATCAGATAAATAGCATTCACAAATCTCACAATTGGTGTTGCTCTGAGTCAGGTGGCAGGGTCCATTAAGAGCAATGGTATTATCACCATATAAAACAGCACACAGAGCACAGAACTAACATATGCCTGCTCTCTTCCAAAATGTCAGTAGTAACCCTTAACCTGAATGCAACTGCTAGGCCATAGGATTGCTTTGGACACAAAGTCTCATAAAAGACTGAAGTAGGACCCTGCATCTCTCTTACAAATGTGAAGAGAGGGACAATGATTTCCCTGTGAAGACAAGAATCTGAGTTCTCCAGTAGAACCACTGAAGAAGGGCATCTCAAATCCCATCAGTCAGTGTGCTGTTGATGGCCAACAGCAATGCCAGCTTCCTGAGTAACTGACTAAGGAAAATAGGAACTTGCATGCAAACACACTGTTTTGGCTTCTGAAAATCATAATGGACATCTTACAGGATCCAGAAATAAAGAAGTGTTTCTATCTGGACTCTTCTGAGAAAGACTTAGCTTCAGGAAACAAAGCTTTTGAAAGGCACAGTGACACAAGGTGATGCATGACGAGGGAAAAGCAATTCTCACAGCAATCTTAAAAAACCCACTCTGGGTTTCAGTTTTGGCATTTATTATCTGAAAAGTACAGCAAAGGCATTTACACACATGGTTGCCAGGATGACATACCCTTTCTACTGCTGCTACCTCATTTTTGTACACTTTATTACAAATTTCTCTTCAAACATAGAACTAAAATTCCCCTTAGTACTTTTCCAGCAGTTATATAAACTGTACCCATCTGTGCCTTGCCCTAGCATTTTCTTCCTCACATTGTCCCACAAGGGCCCTGTGAGAAGTCTTTTAACTGAAATAAACAAATGGACAAATCATCCAGGTCTAATCCTGTCACCACTGCAGTTGTCAGTGTATCTTTCACCAGCTAAATGAGACCTGAATTTAGGAGTCTTAATTGCTGTTACTGTCGCTTGGCAATAGTGCATTTGATTGTGGCTTGCATCAAATGAGGTTAGCAGCTCCTGAGTTTCCTGTCCCAAACTATTTTTATCTTGCAGTTCACTGGGTTTGCATCTGCAGTTCCTTTTCAGCAGCATGGCCTCTGAGAAAGCCTACATGTGGTATTTTATCTGACAGGTCAATTTAGTTGTATGCAGGCAGGTTAGGAGGTTATGACTGATTTGACTTTGTGTAGGTTTTAAATTCTCCTTGGAAATATGGTGGATGATATTAAACAGGGCTTGCTCCAGTTAAATGCATTCCAGAGAAAACAAACATATTTTTCATGAGTATTTGGAACCAGAAAGTTCAGTTACTAATTAGTAAATAAAGAAAAGGAGTGGATCTGGCATTTGAATTCTAGAGTCACAGGACAGGACTGTTCTTTGCATAACATATGGACTAGTGAGTACCAGTTATAAATCAGAGCAAAAAAAGAGACTAAACAAAATTAATTTTTGCTCTGTGCTTAGTTCCTGGAGCAGTCCTTGCATTCTTGCATGATTTACCAACAAAAATGTTCATAGCCTTGGTCAGCTAAGCCAGTATTACTAAAACAATGTCTGTTATCTGTGTTAGTGTGAGCCTATGAAACATCCTTTGCTAAATATTAACATAAGTAAATGAACCCAAACCCACTTGAGAGATACCATAAAATCCAGAGCAGAGACGTGAGCTTGCTCATTCAGTGATGACACTTTGTGAGAAATCACTTCATTACCTAAGTAGCTACCTCATGGTGAGGACTTTTTTTTAGTCCTTAAAAATACAGCACCTATCTATTCAAAAGGCAGCTTAATACCTTGTAACATAGAGCTAAGGTTAAAATCATAAATCAGACGACAGCTTGAAGCCACAAAAAGCCAATTAATTTAAACTAGATTTTAAGAAAACCTATCAGTGGAACAACAAACAAAGAGGAGGATCACACAAGCAAAACCCCACAGGAGGTATTTATGACAGCCCTAACAGGGACACTCACCTTGTCAAAAGCAGGGTATACAGCTCTGATCTCTGTCAGCCAGCCATAGGGCATGTGTCCCACAGGATACGTAGCTGTCAAAATCGCCACTGCCTACGAATAGAGACAGAAACATAAACTTCAAATCTTCAAACACAACAGTTAAGCTAACATAGGGTGCTAGTGCCCCCCAGTATCACCACATTGAGCTTGACACAATGCAAAACCAGACAAGGGATTGGAAGCTTTTTATTCCAGGAAGACCATCAAAATGATGCTGTATTGGCCTGGCATTTTAAGCTTATGAAATTTTTTTGTGCCATGAAGTTACCAAAGTCAGCTTTGTCATTTCACCATCACTCTGATACTCTGAGAAAATAGTTAAGTTGAGCTATGGTGCACACCTTACAAGCCCAATACCTTGCTCCCACATTGCTCCTGAGTTATTTTACCTACAGATATCTGAGCAGCAGAATGCCTTGCAGCTCACAGTAATTTTGGATCATACCCCATAATTTCAATTTATATATATTTTACTTGGTTACTCATAAATAAAGCAGCTTCCAGTAAGACAGATGGACTATAAATCAGTGGACCTCAGTGGCTGACTCCGTTTGGACATCAATCTGACTGCTTGGGGGCAGAAGGCATTTATGAGACAAAAAAATCCACCTCTCTTCACTCTGGTGCTCATCAATGAGCACCTGACAAAAATAATTCCAGCTGAACATTTGTATGGGAAGAAATAATTCCCTGCCTGAAGTTTTAAGACTAGGCCCTTTTACACTCTCACAAGTGCAGTCCAAGAGGTTTATCAAAGACAAGCTCCCCCACACATTAACTGAGCATGCCTGGGTGCTTTTTGTCTGCAGGTTCAGATCTGTTACAATCCACGCATTCCTGATTCATTTTACATCCAGCAATGGTAGTGTTAAGAAAGACCTTCTTTAACTACTGCTATTTCTGTTTCACTCCCAAACTTTCAAAATACATTTTCTTAATTATCTGAGCCCATTTTCCCATTATAAATGTAACTGCTGTCTTTGCTTGGCTAAAAGATCTATACAAACACGGGACCATGTAAGCAAGCTAATTTGTTCCCTGTACTCTTTAAAATGAGAGTGGAACGTAGTGATATCCACAGAGAGGAAGAGACTGGTATAGATCCTTCCCTGCTAATAATAGCTTTAATAATGTTTAATGTACCTTTAAAAAGTAATTGGTTCAAATAAAACAAACTGGAATTTTAAGATAGTACCCTTTTTAATTGCACACCCTCCCATTATCGTATTTTCATCAGAATTTCCATCTGTATGAAACCTAACTAGATTAAATTGAGTAAGGAATATAAAAGCAATTTTGCTTATTTTCATCATTAAATCCAAAAAGACTGCAAAGACACAGTATCTATTAAAGGAAAAAGAATTTCACTATCATATTTTGTATGCTAGATTCCGCTTGGGTGAAAGTATTAAGTTTTTAGCAGTGGTTTTTTTTCCAGTATTTTTCCTCAATTAGTGTTATTCCAACATACATGCATGAAAGTTTTCGTAAATGTCTAGCACCTGTATTTGACAGGTGAAAAGGGCCCCTATGAAAGCCACCATCAAAGAGGTAACCCAATCACCACAACTGTGCTGGCAGTCCAAACAAAAGCAGTGGGAGTTGGACAGTGCAAGTGGATTTGTGGTGCTCATGAACTTTTTACAGCCTAGTCCTTCACAGGGACTCCCTGCCCACAGTGAAAGCTGCTGCTATGATTGAATAGGGGACCTGTAAAACTCCTGTGGATACTGGAGTATGCTCCAGACACTGATGTTATCTGTGTTGTCAGCATCTCCCTTTTCAGAAGCAATTATTTCGGAAATCAGAGAAAGCTGGAATGTTACTGTTGGTGCAAAACTGCCAGTAAATCACCAGCTGTGACATGTATTTAGACTGATTCCTGAATCACACATGTAAAAGCATTAAGTTCTCTTCTCACAGCTGTTTATTTGCAGTCTCTGGCACCTCCTGAGTGAGTGAAATACACAGTATCATGTATGACAAAATTAAGAGCAGTTCTTCGAATTGATTTTTTTTTCATTTAGTAACTTATAGCTTTGCTTATCCTATGACAATATTGCATCTAGACATCCTTGCACGAAGCTGGCAGCAGAAGTTCCCCAGACTTCTTAAGAGAATGGGTCAGCTTGTGGTGAGCATTGGTAAAGGCTCTGCATTACAATCAGAAATCTGTCTCCCAACAGCTGTAGGAGACTTATTAGACTAATCTGAAATTCCTCAAGAGAAACAGGGTGCATTTCTTATCTCAACCAGGAGACATATTTTTTTAATATGTGCTTTTTTATGTCTCTACACTGTTCTGTGTGATGCACTGACTGCTAACAGTAGTTTCACTTCAGTTTGCACAGCCATAAAATATACACGATAGGAAAGTGTAGGACATGGGACTACTGTCAACTGTCCTAAAATTTCTGGGATCTAAATGCTCCAGACTATATGTGCCTATGTGCAAAGCATGAAAACCTGGGATGCAGGCACTGTTCAGTGAAAAATTTCTTCTAGTATTGTTGCGGGTGAGGTTCCATTAGACCTGGCAGAAGGGCTCATGGTGAGAGTCCAAGCAATCTTCTTTTCAAGCATAAAAAAAAGAGCACTAAAGAGAAATGTACTTAAGACAATTTTTTCCTGTCATTTTGGCTGAGTGGTAACACCATCGAAATGATCATTTACAGTAATGGAGAGCACTGCCTTTCTTACCTCTGTGGCTGCAGAACTGCCACCTAGGTCCCGAGAGACAAAAAGGTTCACAATGGGCCTACTTATTCGTTGAGTTGCCAAAATTAATGCCAAAGGCCACCAGAAACTCAGCATCTTCCTTATTGTAGCTTCTCCCTGCAACACAGGTAAAAAAAATGAAGTGTGTTTGAAAAAAAAAAAAAAAGCATCACAGGACCAAAATCATGGAGAAAGGTTTTGTGCTTTTCCCATCCATTGTCAGTTCGGTACATTCATTTCAAAAACTTTCAATATGAGGAGCCTAAAATATTTTCACTCATGATAGCATGATTCAAAAGAAGATGTGTCATGGATCTCAATAAATAATGCATAAGGTATCTATCTGCATAATTTGTTCTGACTACCAGACAAAGCTACATGAAAAACAATATGACATTTGAAGAAAAAGAGAAATTTTGATATCTTCTTCCACATGAACTAAGGTGTTCACTCAGTTCATGCTGTGCTGTCTTATAGCTCGGTCCTCAGTAGACACATCCATACCATGGAAGGCATTGTGTCACATGTGCTGTCGCTGGAATAATTTCTACCATGCCTCTTTATCTGAAAATGTTTTTTCCTGCAGGACAGAGCATTTAGGCCCTTCATGCACAGTGGTTTAATGCAGTATTGTAACACAAAAAAACCAAGTAAAATTGAGTTTGAAAAAACACAAGTATGAAGACATACCCCCATTTCAGGCCCACTTCTGTCAGGAATAACATCATGTATGTTCCTGTAGTATCCGAGGCAGAGTGTGGTACATCGGACAAGTGCTCCCATGTATAAGGACAAGATTGGGATCAAGAGAGGCTCCCTGCACTCCAAGTGACTGTGAAGCAAAATGGCTACAAAAACAACCTGCAGAGAAAACAAACAGATGATTAACAATTTGTCTGTGTGCTTCTTCAGGTCCAACACATCTCCCGTCTGATTCCTGCTAAGCTGATCTGAACCAACAACTTGCATGGCTACAGTATCTATAGAAACTTTAGCCAGGATCTTTCAGTATTTGGTCATGTGCATGAGAAGAACAAGAGTTAACTTCATACTCTATGAAACAGGACTTGAAGGTTGGGCAGGTGTCAGACTAGAACCCATAAATAGGAGAAAGTTGGCATGAAAGTCTGGCAAGGTCTGGCAGCAACAGCAAGCATGTGGATGAGAGTCACCCTTCCCAGGAGAATGTGCTATTCTGATACACACTGAGGCTGGAGACATGCTTCTAGGGTCAGCTTCTAAGCCCTACTTTATTTTTCTTACTTTTTTTTTTTTTGGGCAGTGAGGAAGGTAGTGGCAATTAAAAACCCAGATGTTTCAAAAGATTCACTTCAACATTTAGGAGCAGGAAGTCTTATGTCAACCTAATTTTCAACTTTTTCAAGCGAAATTTCACTCTTTCATTATTTGCTTTTCAGCTGAATGCCACATTAATGTAAATTAAATGGAAACTTTTGGGCTAATGAACAATTCATAATTCAGCCTCTTAAGACTAAATGCTCAATCCATAAAATGTAAAGGAACTGATTAATATGATATTATTCTCTTTGTTAAGTACAGAGTGGATGAAATGCCTGGTAAATTCCAAATGCCTCTGGATAGGGGGCACAACTGGAAAACCAACTGTGTTTGGTGTCGTGAAGAGCAGAACCAAGACAATCCCACCAGGACATGCTGGCATTCAAGTGAGTTACAAGAAATAAAATACACATTGTTCAGGTGCAGGTTCTCTCCCTCATTGCTAGAGCTGTAGAAGTAATTAAGAAAAACCATGCTCTACAAATGATCCTGAGGCAGGCCACAGTGCTTATCAAACCTACAAAAGCATGACTTTTCAGTAAATAGAAGCAAAGTCAGTCACAAAGAATGTGCATATGAAGCTACTCAAGAAAAAGTGGCTGCTGCCTCTGCCCCTACTCCCTGCGTAGGGCACAGATGTAGGTGTAAAATTCTGGGCTATGACAGACACAACTTTTTATGTTCTGGATTTGCTCTTGCTCTGTGCAGTGTTCTGTTGAGAAAAGATGACAGGTGTCTTATTCTTCACAACCCTGGCACCCCACTCACCAACCGCTGTGGAAAGGGCATGGCCAAAATAAGAATTTGTTTTTTCTTTATTTAGCTGCACATGGCCTGACACGCACCCAGAGTCAGGAAACTTTGTGGGTCACATTGGATCAAGAGTAGACACTGAGGGTTAAGGTCATTTACAGTAATTGGTATTATCTCTGGGGATTTAGTGCAGCACTGCAGTGGGGCAGACCTGACAAACACGAGTAGGAATTGACTGAATGGTTCAACCTGGTTTATGGATTTCTTATGTTTAGTGGGAGGAAAATGCTACAGAAAATAAAACTGAGTGCCACTGACTTCACATTTCCTTTGATGTTGTACTGTTTTATCCTGTTTCTTATCCAGTCATTACACCATTCAGCTGGCAATGGGGCAGTACAGCAACTGTTTACAGTTGCTGGGACTTTTCATTTCCTAATATTTTTATATGTTTTCAAAAGAGGGCTGTATACTGGTTCCTAAATGCTACAACACTGGCCATCATCAGTGTGTATGGATGTTGTTTTTTCAGTGTGCCTAATACAAAGCAACAGAGTAGTTAACATCTCCCTTTTGAAAGTTCAAAAAACATTTGGTCTTCTCTGAATCACTCAGGGGATATCACCACAGACCCTTCTGGAGCACTTCTGAGCCTTCACCTTTTGGAACAGTAACAAGTACTCAGAAGGCAGCTTATACTGCATTTCCTTGGATTAGACACCACGTGTAAAACTGACAGGTCAGCTGGAGAATCATGCCTTGACCTCCAACTCAGCATTTCACTGGAACTGTGTGAAGTGCTGGGGAGAATGTACAGGGAGAGAAAGATCTCTTTCAAAGCACTCTCAGCCTCAGGATTGGTAGCAGTCAGTGGTCTGTTTGCCTGACTTTTCTTTTCCCCAAATGTATAAGTGTACACACAGAACTTGTTTATCAGCCAGTATGAAACTGGGCTGTGGAAGTGCTTCAGGACATGACCCTAAGCCAAACAGACCTGGGAACTGACTTGATGTAGTCAAGTGAGACTGTCCTAAACCACAACTGCCAGCAAATAGCCTTCACATGATGAACATGATCAGAGGGCAGCACACAAGATTACTTCCTCTGGTGTCTTGCTTATGGAAGAAAGAGAAGGCACAGACAGACTCTCTGTAAAAGAGAGTTCCTGTTTAGGAAAGTATCTGGTCCACAACACAATGGGAACAGTGACTTCTATGAGGAGCCTTTACCTGAGCTATGACATCTGAGATGGAGGCACATCCCACTAGGAAACTGTACTTGTGTTTCAGCAGAATCCCAGCATGGGTCCATGCCTGAAAAAGAGCCAGAGAAAAGTTTGGGAAGTGATTATGACATTGTGAATGATTTCAGGTCCAAAAATGCTGTTTTCTGGTTGTTCATTGTACACAACCTGCAGCAGTACCTGGGGCGAACCTGGGCCAACATTAAGCCATTAATGCAGAGAAAACTGTTGCATTGAGTTCCTCATTGCCAGGCTCATTCCCCATTGACAAGGAGAAAGAGGATAAATTTGCAGACTGTACAGAAATTTCTGAGCACATCTAGTAAGAAAGCAGCCCTTCACAAATCAGATGTTGCACAGGATAAACTATCATAGTAAATAATCTAATAAATAATCATTCACCAGCTGGATGCACCTCTGAAGTGTAATATTCATTGGCCCACTGAGTTACACTAAGTCCTGTCTGGAAAAGAAAACCAACTTCTTTTTAATGATCCAACTTCTTTTTATTGTCAGCAACCTTTTCAAGCAGACAAAGTGATGAGAAGGTGGTGGAGGCATTGGCATGAGAAGGTTCTCCTTTACCAGTTTTACCTAGAGATAGAGGCATTAAAGAGAGTTGCCACATTTTCATGTGCAGGCCTGGTATGAGCCTGGTGATGTGGGAAGCAGCAGCTCTCCCCATGTGCGGTTCTCTTGTCCAAGCATTTGAGATATACTGGAGTTAGATGTGCTTGCAAAAACTGATGGTAAGAAACATCTTTTTGACAAATTTGTTTTGAAAAATACTGATTTTATTCCTTGTGAGCTCTGCAGGTGATTTGGGAATGCATGGCAAATCCAAATCTTCCACCACATATCAGAATGAGGTCACATAGAGACAACCAGTGCAGCTTATCACAAGATGACCAGTGCTTTCCAACATGCACATACTGTAACTATGACAAGGCAGCTGAGGTTTTTGACATTTGTCATGATCTCTGGATGTCTGAAGTCCATTCAGGTGCTTTCTCCATGTAGCAGGAGATGAGTCTAGGTATATACAAAATTAGTGATTGCAAAGGACACACCTTACTTCTGCACACTTCAGTTTCCCATCAGGCAACAAAGTTTGTGATCTAAGGTCACAAAAACATAACATTAACATTGAATTTCAGTTCTGAATCAGGCACTCACCATGGCATCCATAAAAGGGAAGGCAGCAAGATAAAGGAAGGCCCTCCGAGTTTTACTTCCCACTGATTCATCCACATGGTGCAGCTTATTAATAATGTAATACCCCAAATCACTATATGCTGTGGAGAAACAAGATAAGAATGAGAAACAAAGGTTGCATATGGACTCTTGGGTGAGATATTCAGAAGTACCTGAAAGACTGTGATGCCTTGGAGCTCAGACACACATCCACTTAGCAAACAGCTGCAAGGGCTTCAGATATTGCAGCCTCACCAGCTGCTGTTTATGACTAAGAAGTGCTCTCATGGTTCTTTTTAAAGTAACCTTTGGCAGAGGCGTGATAACAAATGGCTAGATTGGGAGAGGAGTATAGTAAGTGCCACATCTGTTTGCCAAATGAACACACTGGTACTCCAGAAAATCTACTGCTCCTTCATTAAATCAAGGCTCTTTGTTAGAAAAGCTGTTTTCACCAGGCATTTTGTATTTCATGGGGCATAATGCCTTTTAAATGCTGAAAACATCTATTTTCATTGCATTCTCATGACATTACCTGTAAACCTGCCCAAAGCTGTAAAAGGATACTGTGATTTGTGATGGAATGCAACAATCACATTCATTATACCTCTCCCTTACTCTACCTAATGACCACCTCTGTCAGGACCTGTCAGGACACGGTGTGCTCTGCCGTGCAGTCCCTGGGCAGCCTCGACCAGCCTTAGTTCCTGTCCTTATCTACAGCCAGCACCTCCAGAGCCACTCTGGAAATCAGGGGGTTCCCACTTCTGATTGCCAGCACGTTATTTCACTGTCCTGTTTCAACCCAAGACAACTTTTAGTGTTGGACCACACTCTCTTTCCCGGCCTCTCTTCACAAAGGTTGGGTTGAAGGCTGCACAGACATGGGAAGTCCCCACATGGCTCTCTGCAGAACTGCTTACAGTTCTGTTTGTACCCAAGTTATCCAGCTGTTTTAAGAACCCCAGAGTCCTCCCAATAAACAGGAATAACAAAGGCTGTGACTGGAGTCTGAACTATGGAGACAAATATAATATGCAGAGGTAAATAATCCAGATCAGTTTTAACCTTTTTTAAACTATGTTCTAGACCTGCACATCCTTACTTGATTTCCTCTATACACTTGCAATAGCTGTTAAAAGAATAATTAGGCTGTAAGGCTGATCTCCCCCAAGGCAAGTAATGGCAGAATTATTTGTGTTTGGGGAACCTTATTTCAGGTCTCTCCTACTTGTGTATTTTCTAAGTTAACTATTTCAAATGTGAACATCTATCTAATTTTCCATTTATAACAACCTTATTATCTTTGTACAGATCTTCATATAGGGTATTTCAGGAAACTAATCCTTTTCATGCATGCAGGTCTCATAACTGGATTGACAAATGCTAGCATTAGTCATCAAATTCAATCTTCTTAGCCTAAAACTGCCTCAAAACTTGTAAACAGTGTTTAGAAGCAATTAAAGAGGAGTTTAAGTTGTCATTGTTTTGTGATGGCTTAGAGATACAGCAGTTAAATGATTAACAGAACTGAAAATACTATTTGAGCCCAAATACGATGGTGTAAACAAGATAGTAAAATAAAAGGTGGTATGACAGCACTGTGAACAAGCACAAGCCTCATTCCAGATAACCAGGACTGCCCAAATGATGCTAAAAATGTTCAAAACTCCTCCTTTCCCTATGCTGGTCCTCATCTATATGTCTTTTGCCTGAACTATGACTGTTTGACTCACAGTCTCCAAATTCACTTAGTAAATCCCAAGTTGCTTAGCCACCTTCCTGAAGCACTCCCAGCCTTGTTTCCTTTTGAAGAGGGTTGAGAAAGAATTTTAAACCAGGACTCCAACTTTTCTTCAGTTTGAAGAAGGGGGTTTAGTTCCTTAAGTGTTCAGGTGCTTGTTGCAGTTCAATCAAACATCAAGCACAGCCTCTTTATATTTTTGCATGAATAGCCATGTGCCAATCTTCACTTGGTGGTTTGAAAACTCTCTGCTATGAAGGGTTTTTTGTGTAGTAAGTTCTTGTGGAAAGCTGCTTTTATGGCAGGGCAGTACATGGATATCCTGAATCAACTTATTTCAATGAAGGAAAGAAATCTGAAGGTCTGTGAGGCAAGCCATGTGTGAAGGCCAGATTAACTGAACTTTCTCTTAGGTTCCATTGAGTGTGCTTTACACTTCTGCACAAAAACTTAAAAACCAATGCAGGATCCAATCCTCCACATAGAGACAGAGAATCACAGTCCACCTGCTGAGGAACCTGGCTCTGTGGAGGGGCCACCTCCAGCCGGGCAGTACTAGAACCACAAAATGCTGCAGAAGTCACCCTTCCCTGCTCTCCCTGCCCTTCCTCTGATTTAAATGAGACTTTTAAAATGTTTAGAATGTGAGTAATAAGTAACTTTTTTGTCTCTAAAGGCCATCACATGGGGCTTTTTTGGTTTGTTTTTTTCCCCCTAAAGTTTACTATCACAGAAAAATTGACAGAATCAGAAGGTCAGAAGCTAAACTACTCTCACTTGTAAGAAAAGGGTTGTAGTTTATTGGCAGGACACTCTCAAGGCACTTATACCATTACAACTCATAGCACCACATTTTTAAGATTTCTAGGGATATTAGCACTGAGCTCTGTCAGCTTCAAAGACTTTTTTTTTCTCTCACCCATCAAAAAAAGTTTAACTGAACTTTTAAATGTGCTTTTGGTTTTAAATTCATAATAGTTAAACTTAAAACATTATTTTAAAAATAGTCAACTATTTCATATGCCAGTGAAAGCACACAATCACTTTTGCTGATGCCCATGAATGTTTCCATCCTCACAAAGAAGGACTCAGGAAGCTGAGATTCACTGACAAACATACAGGCATGTGTCACTGAGCTGTGAATCCAGCAATTGCTGATGCAATTAGAACTTAACCTTGGCCAACCTTACAAACTTATTATGGAGAATGGTACAAAATTAATAACATAGACAGAGCCAGAGAGTATTACATGAATCTAAAGCAGATGGTGCTTCCCACTTCTTGCATCATTTCAACTAAAACAGAGAAGTCCAAGTCCAAGATGAGCTGCCTGTTTGCTCTTCTCTAATACCTCATTTGACTTGCTATGTCTAAGGATCAGATTTGATACAGAAGTTAAGCAATTTTCTTCTTAACTTAAGCATAAGTTAAGAATTCTTGCTTTCAGTTTTTCCAGTTGAGTTTTAAGCCCCAGAAGGTCAAGAAATGACATTGAAAACTGTACACCTAATTGAATCTCCTGGTCCCTACACTGATTTCTCTAGCAAGCCAATTACTACCACACAAACTTCAGACACCCTTAAAACAACACACTCTTAATGATGCCAGCAGTCTCAGAAAAATAGCTGCACTGTAGTTATCCTGGAGGTGACTACTACTGAGCATGTCATACTTAAATCATAAAGAAAAAACTCTTAGAGGAAGTGACACCATGTAGTTCCAGACATGGAGCTACATATGTCAAAAATAGCTTTATCAGAATAAAAAAATCCAAAACATGATTTTGGGTTCCAGGGTGCTCTTTCTAGACACATTCCATTTACTACTTTTTGCTAGTTTTAAAAATGAACTTGGAGACTTGAGAAGTAAAAAATCTATTCTGCTGCTTGTCAGAAAGATGATTCACATGGCCAAAACTGGTGCTTATGAGTTTCTCAATCACAGAATATTCTGAGTTGAAACAAACAAGGACCAAAAAGTCCAGCTCTTAAGAGAATGGCCTGTATAGGAACCATACCCACAGCCTTGGTGTTATTAGCACCATGACTGATGCACTCAGCTAATTTGTTCAGCGAAGTGATTTGAGCAGATAGGAAAATACCAATGTGAAAAAAACTATAGCAAATCTTCATTTGGAGATGCCACAGAGTACATAGATTTCTTTATGTCTTTGGTTAGCTTGAATTTAGAACAGAACAGAAAGCCTCTGTTTTCCTCATGTGAAAGCTCAGATGACTGGAGTGTTTAAGGTGGTGTGATTTCTTTTTCCTCGCTTATAGCAACACATGAATTAAAGAAAACCAAAACAGCTTAGGAGTATCTCAGTGAAAACTGATTACTGCAATCATATATTTCTGTGCTCGGATCTAGTCCCAAAATTGCATTAGTTGATTTTCCCAGATCTGTGAATGACTTTCAGTATCTGAAATATCTTCATATAAGCCAAAGTTTTGTTAAGTTAACATTATCCTGTTTTAACTGAAATACAATCTCTGCTATCCAAATGTGCTTTGGTCATAGGCTTTCTTGCTTTGTCCTGAGTTCCTTGCTAAAAAGAAACCGCCCTTGTCATGGGAAAAGGGTTGGGATAACCAGAGTAGCATGTTACCGCTTTGGCAATGACCATGCTGAAGTAGGACAGATTTTTCATGAATAACATTTCATTTTTATTTCAGGGGGGCGGGGGAAGGGGAAAGCAGCAATCTCAGATTATATTCTGATTCGTGTTCCTGTGCTGTCTCTTTTTTCCAGGGTAAAATGTTTTGCATATCCCAGTACAGAGGTCTTGTTGGAACAAGACTGACTAAAAAAAGGAAATACCTCAGCTTGTCATAACCCACTCTGTAATTCCTAGTCTCTGGAAAATTCCAGTAGTGTTAAACTGGAATTGGTGGGATTACACCTACATCTCACTTCCTAGGGAGTATTTTAATGTACATGCAGTGATCATGCATGTGGGAAGTTCAAACGTATCAGCAGAATTGCTGAAAACTGCTGAAGTTCTTCCCTGTGCAATCTGTGGCCCATGCTCAGCAGCCTGAGAGTCATAAATGGGCACAAAACAAACCACTTGCATGTCATAGCCATCCAATCTGCTATAGATTACTGCAAAAGTTAACCTACACTTAAGGTTACTGGTTACATTCCATCCTTTTTCTCCTAGTGATGACAACGATCCATCATGTAGTTTTTAATCAGTAAAAAGCAAAGAGGATGTTTCCTCAATGTAACTGCTGCCCTGTCATTTCTAGAACTACTGAGAATGGTTCTAAAGGAAATAAACTTTCTCAGTATACTAGTGAAAAGTTGAACAATGCTGTTTAATTGCCAAAGAAAATGTGCATACTCTTCATGACACTGATGTTTAAAAACTCACTTAGTATGGAGGGCTTACCAGCAACACTAAGAAATGCATTATGTTAACATAATGTTATATAAATGACTTTTCTCCTCTTTCAAGCTGGCAATTTAGTAAGACGTCAAAAATATGCAGAGACAGGCTTAGCATCTGGAATCCCTTCTCTTACAGCCACCAAAAAGCCAATCTCTGAAATAACAAGACATTTTAGAGCCTGGCTCCATAGTGAACTGCCCACCAGGGAAATCAATTGGTGGCAGTAGCTGCCCTCAAAGTAGCCCACTTTGGGGAAGGAAGGCAGAATACTATATTCTAATTCCAGAGCACACCTGAAACAGCCAGTCCAAGAATACTGCACTGACAAGGTTTACAGCAGCGTTGGAAGAGGGATGAGAATATAGTTTTGAATCCCTTTGGCCAACTTGGCTCTCAGTTGTTACTGCTACCTGTACAGGGGAGTGACAGGAGCTGCTGGTGAGGACTTTGCAGACCCTCATAAGGATGTGGGTGACTGAGGGAGCCAGAGCTTGCAGCTGTGAGTTCAAGTGGTTCAGCTCAGCCAGTCCCTGGCACAGAGGACTGTGTGAGCCCCAGTGGGGAAGCAGCAGTGGGGAGCTGGTGCTGAAGCAATGAAGCATGAGTCAGGTGTGTGAAACGGTCTGGTTTGATATTTTCCATGAGTAGAAGCCACAGTTTGTGAGGAGCTGTGTGTGTAGACTGCAAATAGTCTCTATCACAGTTGGAAATATGGTGATTCATTGTGGTCACTGTGTTTCTACCACCACTTGTTTTCCTCCTTTTGGTAATCCTTATTTCATTGGACTTTTTATTTTCTGTTTCTTCCTGTGCTTTGACAATCCATGGCAGACAGACATGTCATCTTCCTTAGCCCTGTATTTATGGCAGGTGGAAAAAATTCAGTCCCCTAAGTGTAACTTGTTTCTCTTTTTCATCCACCATGCATCAGTGACCTGTATTTGTCTCTCTTGTAGATGGCTTGTGATAGGCTTGCAGCTGCTGGGGAGTACTCTCAGGTCCTAGGAGGCTGCCTGTCACTGGACTCCTTCTCTTCTTCCTGCTAGGCAGGCTGTGTATCTGTGGGTCAGAGCAAAATAATCAGGACTTGAAATAGGTTCAAAGGAAACTTGGAACATAAAATTTGGCAACATCACCCAGGCAATTGGTGCTAGAATCTGACTAACTCCATTCCCTCAGGCTCTCTGCCAGTCTCTGCTGTGGCCTTTGCATATTTTCAGGCATAGACAAGTTAAAATACCAAAAAATATTTTGCAGCCTGTCACCATAAAAAGCTGAAAGATTGTGTGCAGTCCTTTAATTCAGGACTTTAAAGTATGGTAAGCACAGCCTCCTTTTTTTCCCAGTATCTGCAGGGTGCATTTCAGAGGTTCTGAACTCAGCAGTGCTCTACTTTCAGGCAAAGGCAAGAAACTTAGCTGACAGGTTTTCCAACCGTGGTTCCAAACACCTCCTTTCAATAAGAAGTCCCACACGGAAAATCCAGTTATGTCTTTCACCTGGAAATCTGATAGTTACATTTAAAACTTTCTTAAAATCTATCCTAGCTTAAAATAAAATACTGTATGACTAGAAAATTACTTTTTATCCAGCTGGCAAAGGCAAAAACTTTGACCAGCATTGGCAGAAAAGCAAGTGAACAACTAGAAGAGCAGCTCTGAGGGCTGAAGAAACATTCCAAGCAAAGAAATATGAGAGCCAAATGTACAAGGGGGCCAAAATTTACAACACTGACTCAATAAAACAGCCTCAAATGTAAACATGTTTAGAGAGTGGCCAATCGAAATCAGCGAATTAAATTAACTTGAATGCATGGATTCAGGTTATAAAATCAGTGACATCTTATCCCTGGAACACAGTTGCCCTGATGAGTGAGCCATTACTGTAAGCATTTTTTATGACTGTAACATGGAACAAAGCTAAATAGCACAGGGCTTGTGTATCAGTGCTGGAATAAGAGATGTGATGGTCAAAACAAACTGTAGTGCTTGGGATGCACATAGAGCTGGTGAATATAGCTTGTTAAAGGGTCAGAGCAGTTCCTCAGACAGGAACTGAAATAGTTCTATTCTATTCTATTCTATTCTATTCTATTCTATTCTATTCTATTCTAGTCTATTGATGAACTGCAGCACATGTTGCTCCTGAGATACTAACAGCCTGATAATGAATGCTGCCTCCTTTCAAAGCCACTCTGAGATTTCACAGCAATTCAGGATACTGCCATTACACTTGCATTTCCCATTTTCTGCGATGGAATGACACCCTACTGGTGGTGATCCAATCCAATGCTACTGCCTGTCAACCAATACATGCCTCCATAGGTTGTCACTCTTCCCTCCCACCCCTTAAAACTCTCACCTTTTTAGGATTTTACCTGCTCAATGCAGTGCACTCTGCTTCTTCCTCCAGCATCTCCTGTTCCTCGTTGCTACAGTCCAGAGGTTTCAGCTCTGTAGAATGAGCCAGAAGGTGCAGAGAATCTCATGGAGTTCTTGGAGAGGATGAAGTTAAGTCTTCCAAGTTAAATGGCTTTTATTGTTGTGGCTGATGCTTGAGTTGATATCCCATTTTCTAGGCTCTCAAAAACTGGCAAATCCTGTGGCTTTTTTTTAGTATTCAGTTTGTGTCTGCTTGTGTATTTTCTTTTTTTCAGAGTACACTCAGTGAGTTGGTCTCTGCTTGGTATAAATTGCTCTTACTAACCTCTTCCTCACAGATTAATTATTCAACAGAAGTGGATGATGCCTAGCAGCAGAGAGAGTACTACCTGATATTTTAATGAGGATGCTGGCACCTGCCTGCTGAGAGTTTTGTACTGTGAGATAAGTAGCAAAGGAATAGGTACAGAGGGAGTACACCAACAATGCCACCAAGAACTGACAAACAGCCCTACCAAGCACATCTTGAAGTCCTGCCAAACCAACCCAGCACATACTGCTAGCTGACCATCACTACCTAACAGCAACACTGAGCTATCAGCTTCAGGGAACCTGTCAACCTCGTCAAAGTTCTCCTCACACACCTGACTGAAAGAGATCAGTAGCATGTTTTGTTTCCAGGCAGGAGAGCCCTGTGCTTGGAATCTGCTCCTTAATAACCTGTTTTAAAAAGCAATAAAAATTGCGTGGATGGGCATGATACCAGCCCAAGAGAGCTCATCTCTTCTGCATCTCCTGTTGCACTTACAAATGAAATATTAAACCTACAGCTTAAGCAGTTTGAAGAATGGGTGAGGGATTCAAATTAAAAGACATTAACTAGATGTGAAGTGACCTTACCTATTAAAGTATGAAATACAGCAGCTACAGCTCCAGCCACAACCATGCACAAAACTGCTTTGGTCCTGTCTCTCTTGCTGTTCACAAACACCAGACCTACATTTTTGAAGTCACTCATCGGACCCGTGAAGAACTTCATCAGGGAGTATGCCAGCCCATAGCTGGCCAACATTTCCACAGCATCTTCCTTGACAGCAGCGATGCCCCTATTCAAGGCCTGTTGAAACACAGAAAGAGCAAATGATGTAGCACGTGTGGGAGGGTACCAAACACAATCTCCTGCATCAGCTTTCTGAAGGAGCAAGCAAATTTAGCTGTCGTTGTTTTCACCCCAAGATGGACTTTATTTCTCTGGATTCAGCAGCAGTAACTTGTGACCTGTGACACAGGCAAAATAATCTAATATAGACTAAATTCAAGTAGACTTGAAGATAAAGTAATTATCTATTTCTGAAGTATATAATGGAACTTCTACCATACCAGAAGTCAGTCTCTATCCTTTTTAGAGTAATTTTATGACCTTCTAATAGTCATGGATAACACAAAACCACTGAAATACTGCTCTGAGGTTCCAGCCATGATTTCAACAGAGCATAGTCCTTGCAGGTCATCTTTACAGGCAAAAGCTCTGACAAACGCTCACAGCTGAGGAGCTAAAAAAGTTTTTCTGTGTAACAAGCTTTTCACAACATCCCATGTAACTGTTATGAATAGCTGATATTAGTCTGTAACTTTCATTATGAAATGAGGCCAAATATGCACGTCATTAAACATAATTGATTTCCTTTCATGTAGTTGACATATACATATTGTGGATATACGAATTTGTGTGTTTGTATTTGATACCATATTCATTTATATCCCCTTGTAGGAAATTTAAAAAGAACTACAGCACGTATCTTCCAAGACATATTCAGGTACAACTAACTTACCAATTTATTCTAGGTTTATGCTTAGGAAATGTCTGCCAATTAATCACTGAGAGTTAGATGGATTATTTTTACAGCTAAGGTGAGCTGTAAAAAAGATGTGTAACATTCCTTCAGATTCCAGCTTGAACCAAAATGCTTCTAAAGTATTGGATAAAAATGACAGAATGATAAATTTTATCTGCAGTGTGACAGCATCAATCATCTGGTACACCCAGCATACTGTTAAAACAATATTAGATTCAAAAAGCATGAAGGATGAAATATGATTTAACAAGTATTTAGTTCCTATGGGTTACAGCTGATGTGTGTTGACAGGGCTGCAGCAATGAGGCAAGCTAGGAACGTCTCACCATGCCACCACATAAACCTCACTCACGCTTAAACAGTTCTAATACCACTTATACTGAATAAAAAAACAGCTAGAGATAATTGTCGTGAAGTCCTTCCATTTCAAATGCAAGCATAAACTTTTTGTTGCAGTTTGAGTTTATTTCCCATTCCAAAGATCATACCAGCAAGCAACTTGTACTGACTTGAAAAGAACCTGCATCCCTGAAGTAGAAATGAGGAATTTTCCTACTGTTCTTTTCCACTCTCTCTATAATTCCATTCTTAATTTTTGAAACTTAAGCTGCACTGTCAACATTGCAAAAAGCTGTAGAAAATACCAACTTCTCCACCTTTGATGTCTGCCAAATCTCTCTCTTTTAATGTGCTCTGACCTGAATGCCTGAGACTCCAAATGTTTTCATCTGTCTTGCTCCAGTTTGTTCCTTCCTGAAAACACCATGTGTTAGATATGGAATACCCGCAGCTGCTAAGTGTAATTTTTCCTGGGACATAGATTATTCCATCTATTGCATTGATATCAGTTCAAATTATATGAAATTTGCTGATGCCAAAAGCACTAGTGCGTGCACAAAACTGTATTCAAACAATTTGTGAAAAGACTGTGGCCTCCGAAATGAACAGTCAAGTATAGTTGTCTTTTGTGATGATACTTGTGATGGTGAATTATTCAGTTTCAAGGTGTATACAGAGTTACAATCTTCTAATTTAAACTTGCTAGAAATATGCCAAATCTCCCAATTGCTGTTTCCAGTAATAGACAAATAGCCTTAAATTATACCAAATAAAAGGTTCCTTGATCATGGCTCTTCCCCTCTTTTTTCTTCTGTCTAAAATGAAATATTTTTGGCAGCTTCAATTTAAAGAGAAACAGCTAACCAATATCAGGCAGGCTAGTTTAAAAACTTATCACATGTAAACAGCTGAATTATTTCCAGCAAGTTTCACAAGCACAAGTGCTTGCTTCCTGCTTTGTACAACTACAGAATACCAGAGTCTGTGGAGGATGGTAATCCACTTCTGACAAGGTCATGGAATAAACATGGCTTTAAGAAATAACTTTTTGTAAAAAGGCATGGCACTATGATCCCTCTGCAGAGAGAGAAATCTTTGCCTAGCACAGACCTCATGCCAGTGAAAACAGCTCCATATGACTCTGGCCCTAGGGTAACTAAGTTTTTCCATCTAAGTAGGACAGACAGAAAGACTTGAGCACTCCTCTTTCTCTCCCCCTCTGTTTTTACTGATGTCTTTTGAATGAACAAATGATAGGCAAGTAGATAACTTCAAGTAGATAACTTGAGTAATCTTCCCTGGAGACACCCTGTGTACCAGGAAAGGTAAACTGGCAAAATCCAAAAGGGACTTTTGAAAGAGATATGTTGCCATTAATTTTTATTCCTGTGGAACACGTGGATAACATGATGAAATACTCTAGAGGCTACCCCTGAAAAAGCAATTCTTCCAAATGCTTCTTTGGAAAGATCCTTAGGAAATTAACAGTCAATAGGGCTGTGTTTAGGGATGGTTTAGCTTCTGTAGCCTTTTCCTTTTTCACTTTAAGATGACAACATAGGACTCTTCATCCTCAGTTTTCAAAATCCCTATGAAAAATTGCATAGTTTTTCAACCCTATATAATTCCAAATATTTTTGCTGCTGAAGATGTTGATGTCATATTTCATATCCTAAAATTCAAAAGAAATCCCAGATAACTGATAAAGCTGCTTTGGTATGCAGTATGAAAGACACAGACACTTGATCTTTCATGGCATGCCAGCCATGCAGCTGGCAATTTTCCAGTCTAATTTCCTGTTAGATTTCCAATTAAATTTGTCATAAAGGAAGGCAATATAAACCAGGGCAAGGCCTCCATTTTTTAATCTGACTTTATTTTGAACACTTTTTGTGTGAACAAAAATCAATAATGAAAGTTCATCAGCAGCATCTGTATCACAAGGAAGCTCATACCTCTACAAAGATTTGAGTAGATTGTGGGTGAAGTCAGAACAACAGAGAACTAGGTAGCAATAATACTAATGGCAATATTTAACACAGCACGTTAGCTTGATCACACACATTTCAGGTGTCATCCTACTTTGAACTGGTTTATTCATACCATGTTTGCTGGGATAACTAGGCAATCCAGATGCTGGAAGACAGACTGCTGGTGACATCACCTTCGCCTGAGTTCTTAATGTACCACTAATCTAATACAGTAATAGTAGGTGAAAATGTCGCAGTAAAGTGCAATTCAACAAATGTGATTAAAACAAAGCCATAGATATAGCTGACCCTTCTTCTAGAAATAACAGAAAAAACCCCACAGAACACTTCCAGCCAGAGCACAGTCTGGTAGACACATGGACAGGTTAGCTGAAGTAAGTTATATTCCTAAAGTACTTTTCAAAAAGCCAGGCACCAAGATACACAGTTACTGCTATGCAATTTCTTCTATAACACATTTGTTATCACTAGAAAAGTGAAATCTTTACTAGAGGACATGCTAACAATCCTTTGAACCTTTTTTTTTTGTTTTAAATGAATAATTGTTGTCTTTAATGTTCACTAAAATCAGAGAGGACTAGCATTTTTAAATTCCTATCCAAAAGATTAGAGTGAGAGGGATATCAAACACACTTAACAACATTGCAAGCCACAACTTTACAACTGAATACTGCAGCTCTCTAGCCTCCTTAGAAGGAACATATGAGACCTCTATCAGATTTCTAGTACATGCATAATGGATGAATCCAACAAAGGTTGGCATGCAAAGGCAGTGATTTGAAAAGCAACAGTTGTGAGAAAAATGTCAAAGGTCTACCTTGTCCTATTTTGCATGAACTTTTAGCACTATTCACTAACATTGGCAGAAAAGGTTTGGTTCCAGTCTAGGGCTACACACCTCTGTTGCCAAAAATTCAAAGGCTGTCTCTTAAGCTGGCTCAATAGTTTCACCATTACTCACATATCCTCCCTTCTCAGAGCCTGCTGGATGACTGATATTTTACTTTGTATTGGTTTGGAGGCACTAAAAAAATTTAAAAATCCACTAAGACAGCAACATCTATTGTACAAGTTTTCTTCTGCTTTTAAAACTGATTATTACCTACACACTACCTACATTTCACTAGTCTGTATCTAACTATGCAACATTTTCTATTTCATTTGAAGCTAAATACTGACTCTGCAGTCACTATTGACCATGATGCTTGTGTTTTAAACAGGAGGACATAAAATCCAAGAAATGTAATTTTTGTCAATGCTCAATTTTGCTTATCCCAGAAAAGCAGAATATGACATACTGGAAGCTGGCATGTTCCTACGGCTTGTTTGAAACTGGGATTCTGCCTGAGATGTTTTCAAGTCTGTTTAGACTAGTTATCTATTCACAGGTGACATCAAAAACCTGCTCAATTTGGCAGTATCTTGGCCAAATGTATGTTTGGTTCAGCAAACATTTGTAATGTGTTACCCTTCCCTGCACATATCTTTCTTCCTACCTGGTATTCCCTAAGAAAATGGAAGAGAACCAAAGTATCCAGTTAAAGAGCAAGCTGATGCAGGGGACAGTCTATCTCCTGTGTCAAATAATCTCTCTCCTGATGACTCTTGGCTGAGTTTTCATTACCTAAATCCTGTCACATTGAAATCTTCAGCATCAAATGTACCAGCTGGCTCTGGCTGCTCTGCCTCCCGCGGTCACTGCTGCAGGAGCTGTGCTGCCAGAAGGACAGACACCTGACAGATCTGATGCTCTGAAAGCATGGCATAACTGGATCACCGTGTAGGTGCTACCTGAGTGCTATTGCAGCTGCATCTCTGCTTCTGGATGGGCTTCTCAAAAACACAGGAGCCCCTACAGGCAATTTGAGATAAACAGTTGTGCTCTGACACAGGTCTGTGTAAGACTTCCATGGACAGAGGTATAGAAGTTG